GAGTTAAAGCTCAGTACATTTTGCAAACAGTCATCATTTTTTCCAAATCATTTCATTGATTTTTTTTTCTTGTTTTTTTACTTGGAAAGTCCCTGAATGTTATGAAATGCCAAATGCTTACGATTATCGAGGCTCGGTACATACCACAACCAGCGGTTTTACATGTCAAGACTGGGCATCACAGACACCGCATTCGCATTCATACACTCCAGAAAGTTATCCAGATGACGGTTTGCTTAACAACAACAACTGCCGTAACCCCGATCAGGATGACACCGCATGGTGTTATACGACAGATCCAAACAGAAGGTGGGAATTTTGCGATGTTGGCAGTCCAAGTGAAAGTTGCGGTAGGTTTTTTCTTTCTTCCCAGAACTTTTATTATTCATTTGTTTTGCAACATAACATCTGTCTCTTATACACATCTAGATGTGTATAAGAGACAGGCACAACACCACCACCCCCTGGCACAACAACACCACACCCCGGCACAACAACACCACACCCCGGCACAACAACACCACACCCTGGCACAACAACACCACACCCTGGCACAACACCACCACCCCCTGGCACAACAATACCACATGAAACAACTGTAATTACATCGTCAACAGAAGAACTATCAACAACACCGCATTCTACCCAAGAGACAACAACGACCCAGGTTTCTACAACAGTTTCTACATGTAAGTTTATTGCAGAAAAATGTTATCACAAATATATTTCTTTTTTGTAAATACTTTCCTTGATAAACAGACAGGTATTCAGGGGCAGATTTACCCTAACCCTTTTGGACATCTGGATCCGCCCCTGGTATTTAATTCCTTATAACAAAGCATTACTTTAAAAGTGCATTGAATTTATCTATCCTAGCACATAAAAGCTTTATAAAAAAAAATACCAACTATTTAGTAACACTAAACTCAGATTATATAAGTAAACCTCTTTGTGATCTTCTTGCAAAATGATAATGAGTGTACTAATATGTAATACATGTTAAATACACTTGTGCTAAGACAGACAATTCACTTTATTTTTCAAAGGTAATTTCTGCTACAGAAAACTTGACACTAATTGTTTGATCTAAATTTAGTATCTCACTAGAGGTGACTTGGCCAGCCATACTTCATTTACAGTTTTATTTAATTTTCTTCTCTGTAAAATCTGATATGAAAGTATGGCTGCCTAGTATTTCAAATTTTGACATTATATGCAATCTTAATCTTGCATCTATAAATGTACAAAAAAGGAAGCACTGGAGGCATTATAATTGAGTTGTCCAGGCTGCATGATATTTCAGAATATGCAACACAAAGTATTAATAGATGGAATTAATGGATTCCTACAGTATATTTTGATGAGGAAACAAATCATTCATTCAATATTCCTAAATCCAATTCATTCCATGTATTTTCTTTTGTTTACTTTAGCTGGAAAGTTTGTGAATGTTATGGGATGAGAGTTAAAGCTCAGTACATTTTGCAAACAGTCATCATTTTTTCCAACTCATTTCATTGATTTTTTTTCTTGTTTTTTAACTTGGAAAGCCCCTGAATGTTATGAAATGGCAAATGCTTACGATTATCGAGGCTCGGTACATACCACAACCAGCGGTTTTACATGTCAAGACTGGGCATCACAGACACCGCATTCGCATTCATACACTCCAGAAAGTTATCCAAATGACGGTTTGCTTAACAACAACAACTGCCGTAACCCCGATCAGGATAACACCGCATGGTGTTATACGACAGACCCAAACAGAAGGTGGGAGTTTTGTGATGTTGGCAGTCAAAGTGAAAGTTGCGGTAGGTTTTTTTCTTTCTTCCCAGAACTTTTATTATTCATTTGTTTTGCAACATAACATTAAACAAAAAAGAATGCTTCTCAATAAAAGCTAATAAAACTCAATAAATAATATTTCTATGAACCCATTTGATAACAATCACCACCTATCCACTGTGTGCCATGATGCACGTAAGGCCATAACGTTTGCTACCTCTGCTGTTTTTCCAGTCACGTACATAGTATGGACATTCCAGTTCCCTATTTGAACTGTAGTTTTTGGCTTCATGTGTAATTTTTTCTATCCATAGGCTTCCTTTTGGCTTTCACCCATGCATTTCCTTTTGCTCTGATCTTCCACAAATCTGATGTCATTTTCGTCTGTGATCTGGCACATCACCGCACTTCCACCGGGTTTTTCTTCTGTATTTACATTATTGGTTTTTGTAATAAATGTTTTTTTACAGATACAGATGGTTAGCCTATAATCTAACCCCCTATTTAAATCCGGGGGGGGGGGCCAAGTGGCTACTTTTTGTCTGTCATCTCCCCTCCAACCTGCCTTCCGACACAAATGAAGAAATAAGAAAAATATTGCATTTGGGATATCCAGTGATAAGCCTGCTGCTGTCACAGCGACACTCTTATGAGCAAACTCTGTTAATGTAGGGGAACACAAATTTAACAAGAAACAACTCTTAGTTTTCTGTTTGTTTGTTTGTTTGTTTTTTATTCAGTTTCTTACTTGTTTACTTGATAGTACTGTAGAGACTCTTGAAGTGTCTTGCTTATGAGCCCTTTGTGCATGCTCATTTAAGTTCATAATATGGATTGAAGAGTTTCGGGTGGTTTTTGCGAGCTTTTGCAAGTTGAGTTTTGAACTGGTTTATAGACTTAGCAATTTCAACAAAATTTGGTAGTGAGTTCCATTCATTTATTAGCGCACAGAAAAAGCATGTCTGCGCACCTGAGATCTGAATAAAGTAGGCTGAATTCCAAGGCTATGGCCTTGTGCCACTGAATCTGTTATTCTCGTAAAAAAGCATTCTTTTGGTAGAAGAATGCTTCAACATTATTACAATACAAAAAACATAGAATATTTAAACATGCAACCAGGATAACCCATAAATTCGAAAATTAAAATAACTTATTTCCAGTGGGGTCCAATACAAAAAAAATGACATGACAATATAAATATAAAAACTATTATGATGCAATAAAATATAAACTAAAGAATATAGGATAGTAGCTACCACTAAAAGGAGAGTATATGAATATAGTATATTTACATGCTCTCTTTTCACTATATTACTGTATTTAGGGATCTATTAAATTTGCATTTGGATCATTTCCAAGAATAAATTGTAGCATAATCTTTGGCATAATGACTTTGGGTAAGAACATTGCATAAAAAATTGAGATGACCATTGTTTCTTTTAATAATAGACATGGCCATTGATTTACCATTGACATCACTATCAAGTAAACATCCAAGATGTTTAACACAATGTCTTTGTAACTTCTTTGTTATTAAGCACAACTTTAAAATCTTTACATTTAGCTTTGAGAATCGAACACGGGACCTTTCGCTTACACGGCGAACGTCTTACCTACAAGGTAGCTTGTTAGATAAGAAATTTCTTATCCAGCTATAGATAATGCCTGTAATGCCATACATGTTGATTTCTTTTAATTGACTAGTAATCTTAAAGAGATAGCACTTTGAGATGATTTCCTGTCAATACTCCAATATTTATGACTTGTGTTAAATAAGCTCACAAGCAAATCTGCAACTTACTCAACTTTGAAAATGTGGTTTCTTTCTCCTTGTACAACCACGTATATTTTTTGCAAAATTTTTTGTGGAAACAAAAACAATAATATGTATTTAATGCAAAATGAAAAGACAGAGTGAGAGCAACAGTTGAACATATCACTATGTATAGAGGTATACAGTGTACTTGAGGAAACATCGGCTTTACTGGGTAGGATCTTCTAGTTAACTAATGCATTGTGCATCTTTCTTTATTTTTGGTTTTTTGTTTTTTGTTTTTTTTTTTCTGGTTAAGATAAAGTTTTACCATATAGTTTATATAAACTTTTTTTTTCTGGTAAATTTTTTAGAACAAGAAACAACTATAACAGAAGTCACATCTACAGCAAGTAGTACCACATTATCAACAACACAGATTACTGAAACAACTGAGACTGTAGTCACAACTATGAGAACAACTGAGGCAACCACAACTGTCAGAACAACCAGCATAGAGTCAACAACACAACCAAGTAAGAAAATTAACTATATTCATTCTTGATTGTCTGTTACAAAAACAAAAATCCTGAAACAATCATGAGCTCTTGATTCAGTGATTGGTTTTAATGTAGTACATTAACGTAGCTCAGGTTTTTGTTTTTGTGTCCAGAAGATAATTAATGTTTACCATTCCATTGATTGAGAATATTTTTAAAAAGAAATAATATTAAACTTGAGTTATAGTTGAACATTTTTATGACCAGAGTAAAAAAGTTAGTTATAGCAAATGTATATTCATTATATTACATTATACAGAAAAGAACTTCCAGGTAGTCATCATTCTTAGTGGTGGCGTCAGTAAGGGGGCAGGTCTGGATCATGGTCATCAAAAGAATGAATGAATAAGATCTTTGGTTCATATGTACAAAATGGTCCTTCAGCACTTGAAAATTTGCAGTACAGTCCAGGATTTTCAGTGAATCATTTATTTTTGCCCTGGGAAACATCTCAAGTTTCCTAATTATTCATCTAAACTATGCTAATCATGTACCTTGTTTTCTCAGTCATTTGTCAGGATGATCTTGGAATGGAAGACGATCTTATAGTTACCAAGTTTAATTCAAACAGGCAAGAAGTTGGAAATGTTTGGTATGTGGATACTGATTCTTTACTGAATGACTACATTAATGTTTACTTCAACAAGCCAACTAAAGTGACTGCTTTAACTCTGCGGTCTAGTCCTGAGGGAGCTGAAATCTCAGAAATCCGTTTTAAACTTGAAAAGAAAATACATGGAATGACAAACTTTGAAGTCATCTTTGAGGTGAGTTTTTATAATAAAAATAATATTCAATATTTGTTTAACACCTTTTCACAAATCTAAACAAAAAGATTTCAAAGTGCTTGCAATGTGTATATTACCCTAGTCACTGGTAAATAATTTGGCAAGCATGCAATATCCATGACGCACTATCTGGGGAATATTATACAAATATTGACTGCTCTAGATTCGGGGAATAGTGAAATCTATTGCCCCAAGGTGATGCGGAGACCGTAACCTATCTATAGGCTACGGTCTGCACATCACCAAGTGGCAATAGATTCCACCATTCCCCGAATCTAGAGCAGTCAATATTTGTTTTATATACCTCATACATAGATTCTACAAGGCCTAAAAAAGTAATAGGCCTGGAGGCCTAGGCCTATTACTAGACGATCAAAGAGTGTGTCTAGCTCTTCTTTGCTCATTTCGTCAATATCAACAATACCCATCATCTTGCAATATTTGTAAATAATAATGTAATAATTTGTCTTTTGGTGCTTTTGCTATCGGCTTCATCAAGAAGTAATGCTAGGCCAAGACTAGTCCTTCTTCATCTAGGAGCTTGAATCAACCAGCCTTTATATTTGTTTATCGTCTACTCTCTGATCCGTGGCACCGTCAAGGGCAATTTCTTTCGTCGTAGAGGTCACAGTTCCCTTTACTGTCAGCGCGATGTTGCAAGCCTACAGTTTGCACATCACTCGACAGGGCAAAGAATACTATTTTTCAGGGGAATAGTAATTTTTCAGGGCAATAGTACTTTCTATTGCCTGCTTCTTAACCAATTAGATGCCTAGAAACTATGTACGACGTATATAGTTCACAATAGACACATTCTGCTAGGTTGGTCACATGACGTATAGTGGGTATAAATTGTAAACAGACAGCGCCAGTGACGTAGCTGAGTGACTTTCGGTAAATAGAAAAATGTGCGGATTCTTCAGAGTGTTTCTGCTGTAAAGCATGTATTTGATGTTGAATAATGTTTGGATGGAATTCCAGTAAACTAAGCCAAATTGATTGGAAATTGAACTTGAGAATTTTTCCATAATGGTTTGCTAATGCTGCAAAAGGTACTGGCCCCAAACATTGAGATTTTTCCAGAAATGCTAGGCCTAGGACCCTGCATATCTACGACCTCTTTAGGTATGCATCAGAGTCTTCAATCTGCAAACTGCAATTTTGACACACTACGATTTCTAGGCCTGCTAAGCTTTACGAAGAATCACAAATTCCAAAGCAGTTGAGGCACAGAGAACATAATTATAAACACTATTTTGAACAGTCGTAGTGCCTTTCCTTGCCATTTATTTCTCAAGTTAACAGTGGGTGGTTGTTTTTGTAGCCATAACATTACCCTTTCCTTATTTTCACACTTATCGCACTACAAGTTCTCCATAGTTATAAACCACTATATGTCATGTGACCGACTGTAGAAAACTTCGCGGGATGTGTCTATTGTGCTGCAGTATGTTTCGCACAGACCTATCTTATTCGTGTGTATACTAATTACCTGAATGAATTTATGTATGCTAATTTCCTTTTAGAAACTTACCTTGAAAATAATGGAATTGTCCAACCCAGGCATAGATAATGCAACAATGTAACAGGCCTCAGTTTTCCCTTTCACTGTGAGCGAGTATACACTTCGATTGAGAGATGGAATGTTACAGGTGGAAGAATAATAAGGGAATCCTTGATGGGATTTTTCTTATTGCAGAACTATGCACCCCCTGCCAGATTATGGTAAAGTCCGCCTCCTTGGTTGAGTGATGGCTCTTCACATTGTACATAAATGTTCTCTTTGGCACCTTCTTAAACCATTGACTTTTATAGTATCCAAAATGACAACATTCTTGGTCATGAGTAAATGGCCTGTGCTGTCCTACTGTGTGAACACTGCCGAATCCCCACACCCTGAGATCGCTCAGCGATTTTGGTACATGATGAGGTGGTATAATGATTATTATAGTTTTTACTCTAATGCTCTAGAAGTGTGGAAAACAAAAAAAAAACTATGAAAAATGAAGTTGACAAAAAGTATATGAAAATGATAGATGTAAGGTGTTGTTTGAGAATCTATTATGTACTGGTATACTGTATTTCATACAAATTGTTTGATGACGTTACATTTATAGACTGAGATTATCTCTGGAGAACGCCTTGAGGAAGATGGCCCATTGGTGGAGCTACCAGCTGATGAGGATGATTATATCTCCGAGTTGAAAATTACATATTTAAATAGTGCTGCAGAAAACGCTGATGTGCAACTCATTGTCAAAATCTATGGATGCTTTGAAGATAGTGAGTATGAGATGCAGTTGACCTTTCTTCTAAGCTCAGTCCCTTGGATATGTTTTGCTAAGGTCTCACAAAAGGACATTGTAAAAAAATGAAAGATCCATTGTAGATCTGTTGGTTTGAAAACATAAGTCATAATGGGGAGGAAAGGGAGGGGGTGGGGGGTGGTAGTGGATAATTTCTATGCCATCTCTGGACCTGACGCGTGTGTGTGTGTTTTTGTTTCTGATTGGTCAGACACCACTTTCTGTGATGAATGATTCAAAGTTGATTTCACATCCCTGAAGAATAAAGTCGTCGGTTCTTAAACAATATGATTTATATATGCACACATGCCTTGCAATGCTGTAAAACCCTTCCAGATTACTCGTCTCAGATCTAAAACTCACTAATAATAATTTCAGCTTGATATGTACATATGGTGAATACCACATGTGGGCCTTTTTTTTTATCTGTATAATGAAAATTTGCAGCATCATCATTCGAACCACCAACTGTGCCTCCAACAACTGTAGTTATAACTACTGTTAGCACAGAAATAACAACTGTACCGACCACTACTTCGGAACCAACGACGCATGAATCAACCACAATTACACACTCTTCTCATGAAACTTCAACTGGCAGTGTGACTACGACAGCAACTACACGTGTAACAGAAGTTACGACTCCAAGTAAGGTTTCATCGACTTTAAATATTCATTAGTTATTTATAAACTCAAAACAAAAACAAATGGAAAACCATAATAATAAATGACATTTATATAAAAATCATGTGAATAACTTGTTTTTGAGACCACTCCTGAAATAAATCCTGTGTTAGGATATACATGATGTAGAATGCAAATTGAAAAATGATTACCATTGGAATCAGTATGCTGTTATGTAACTTTTAATTATTCCAATGTAGAAAAGATATTAAACGAAACGTTGTGTAAATAATGCAAGTGGTGCAAGCGTCAAGTGATAGTCAAACCAGATTGTGATGGTCTATACAGCAAATGATTGTAACAAATATAGCGAGATGAAGCGCCAAGATTGATGAGACGTCTAAAGAGACATGCAATGTCAAAAGTGATGACATTTCACTTAAACTCAATTCAAATATAAATGTGAACAACTAATTAATACATGCTTATATTCATTTCTATACAAAAATTATCAATTCAAAGAATATTTGGTTAATCTTCTTTCATAGGTGAATGCTTTGAGGAGCTGTCAGCTGTTGGAGACTTGGTAACACTGACATCCGGAGATGAGATTGTAGACAGTTGGTTAATAGCACCAGATAATAGTGCATTGACTGTTGTTTTCTCCAATCCCATTACACTGACTGGCATCAGAATTGAGACACCTTTTGCTATTCGATTCACGATATCCGTGCAATATGAAAATACTAATGTGTTGGTTAACGAAGGACGGGTAATTTGCTAGAGCTTTGTTTTTCCAAATTAATTACCAGTATGTTTTTCTAATAATGTCGTAGCTAGAATTTCCGGTCTATTTTGTGAATACTTGCCACTTTGTTTTTAAGTGAAAGGACATGAATTGATTGAAACATGTCGGCTCCTGTCTCCCAGCATGAAACATACAGTATCCTCAAAACCTATTTATATTCTGGTTCAAAACTCAAATAGATTTGAAAGATTTAAAGTAGATGATATTTTTTTTTTCAACCTAAATACACAAATTGCCAAATGTATTCATACGTTACTGCTTAAACATCATTAGAAGTTGAACTTTCCACACTTTAACTCAAATTTTTCTCCCTCTTTTTTATTTTGTGGCTTGACCGGGGGGTACAGGCCTTCAAGGCCCCTGCTGGATCCGTGCCTGTTTGTTTTTAGATACAAATGATTAGCCTTTACATTGATTAATCTTAAAAAGACTACAATGTTTTTGATGACAACAGTGCGGGACAACACAAAATTTTATACTCAACCATGATTAAGCACTTTGTATATTTACACATTTACAATTAAAACAGTCCATTTTAAAATAGTCAGTTTTGGTCCTTGGACAATGAATAATTTACAAACATTTTCTAATTATGGCATATGAAAAGAGCAGCAGTTATTTGTATTTTTATTTACTTATTCGGTATAAAAACCTCACGTCAATCCCAGAGGGCAAACCTGTCAGTTTACAAACATTGCACAAAATATCATACTGTTTGGAGACAAAATGTTGTATTTACATCCCAGATAAACTAGGTGAAATGCAAACATTATGAATATAATTATACAATTGCGCACGCCTCACAATAAAGTCAAACTGAATTAAAACTCACTAATATCAATAATGTTTAATTATAATCTTAATAACTTATATCCTATAAGTAATGCACTGTCAGATGATATATGAAAGAAAATAGTTTTTTCACTTGAATAGAGAGATTTTTTTTATCAACGCATTTCAATATATTTTTTTAGTTGTTAGTCGAGCCAGACGCCAACATTGCATACCCAGTGATTGAGCGTCCTGTTGTAAAAGTAATATTGACAGCAGATGATATGCAAACTATCACCGCAAGACCAGTATTCTATGGATGCACTGAAGAAGGTACTACTTTTTTAAGCGATATAAATAATTTTTTTTTTTATTTAACATTAAATAATGTAATAGAAAAAGCATTTATTTACACAACAGTACACATTTTAAAATTTGCACATAAAGGTTTTTAATTTAAGAAACATCAAATATAATTTCTTAAGTAAAATGTAGGCAAAAATACATTTGTTCAAATTAATAGAATAATGTATTTTTTATTCACTGATCGATAAATCAAACATACACACATTGTCATGTTCAGTCACAAATTTGGTTTTATTAGGAAGCTTTTAATTTGCACGGCGATGCTAGAATGGATTCACTCATGCATGACCGTCCTACCCGGCGTCCTACGTTCTCTGCATATGAGATTTGGTCAAATTTTGGCCTAGATTCCACGCAACCGCGAGAACTCAATGTTCTCGCATGCGCAGATGACTTTATGTGATGTCATTACAAGAAATCTCCCCGGCCCTCCCGCTGGCGCCACCCCTGAACTCTATCTAGTTTATTGCCATTAATGTTAATTTTAAAGTCATGAAATCGGTGGTGTACCAAAAGCATAATTTTAGTTTTCTCAATGTTTAAACTTAATTTATTCTTTTTTATCCAAAAACAAATTTAGTTTGTAGGTCTTCCTACATTTTGTTTTCAATATTGCTAACACTTTTATCCGCAACAGATATTGTAGCATCATCTGCAAAATAATTATATATTGCTATGAGAAATAACTTGAGAAAGATTATTTATAAAAATAAGAAAAAATATAGGCCCTAAAATTGACCCCTGTGGGGCAGCTACTGATAAACTCATTTGTGTTATCTTACCATCAAAGAAAACACTCTGTTTTCTATTTGACAGATAAGTTTTGAACCATTTTAAGCTTTGTCAAATTTTACGTGACAAAAAAATGTGATGTGCAGTGGCGTCGAGAGAGGGGGTCAGGGGGTCGCTGCCTCGGGTCTACTGGGGGCCCGGATCAAGATGAAAAATTTTCGGGGTAATGAACAGAATCTCCATAGGTCCCGAGCCCAAGCCCAAGATGAAAACTTTTGTTGATTTGGGGAGCAGTGGGGGTCCAAAGTGAAGGGGGCCCCATGTGAGGTGTTGCCCCGGGGCCCTTACTGGCTCTCGACGCCACTGGTGATGTGCCCATATATGGGTACGATGACATCATATCAGATATTATCAAATTGTATCAAAATCATGTTCTATCACATTTTATGTAACACTTTTTTGATGAAATTTGATAGTGTAGATAAAGCTTAAAAGAATGAAGTGAAAAACCAATATTTTTAGTTTTTCTAATGAAATGGTGTGATTGTGAAAATGACACTGCCTTAATGCCGGTAGGTGGACCCCCTTTTCAGAAGCAACATTAATCATTTATTTTGTATATAAAATTCTTTTTGTTTTTGGTTGATATTTAAAACAATTATCATTATTGGCTTTATTGTTTTGTTGGTTATCTCTGATTATGGGCGCTTTGTATTTTGTATCCTACGGAAAGGCACGATACCAAATGTGTGAGCATTATAGTTAAAACTAACTATGACCTAATTTTGTACTGCAGTGAGCACTCCAACTATCGAAACAACCACAGTGACTGAGACAACAACAACAACAACACCTTCTATACACACAGAGACACCAACTACTGTTACATCCACAACAATGGTGGTAACTACAGAAACTCCATCATCCAGAGTCACCCACACAACGACTGAAACAGTAACAACCATAGGTAAGAAGAATCAGTTGATGATAACATGAATGTCCATTGGATTTGATTTTCTTTGATGTGACACACACACCAGGGATAACGCACGAAAGTCCTGAGGCTTTTTTCCAGTGGGGTCCTTCTGGTGGTAAATTGGACAGTACACCAGGAGACAATCCCCTACACTTTTCCAAAGAGTACTGCGTTCTTTAACGTGCACAAAGGCCATTTAACACAACAGACCGATGGCTTAAACGTCTCATCTGAAAGAAGTGTGCTTTTGAAACTTGCCTTTCAGCCCTCCCGCTGAAATACACGGAAAGCAGCGATGGGAATTGAACCAGGGACCATGAGACCTTCACAGTTCAGAGCACACCCAGTGGCTACTACCAGTTTAGCCGACTGAACTAGCTGCTCTCTACAATGTAATCCAATGCAATGGACCCCCATACAAAAAAGTTCTATAGAGCTCTATAGAATTCTATAGAACTTTATATAGAGTTCTATGTAACTCTATAGAGGCAAAAAAATTCTATAGAAATGTTTTATAGAGTTTACGCATTCTATAGAA